TGTGTATTTTGTTACCTATGGTTGTGAGGTATGTTTAAATTTCCGAAATTACCATAATTTACTATTCACCATACAGGTTCATCCATGAATCCAATACAGAAATTTTACCAGAAATTACCTAGATTCACTAATACCTCAAAACCAAATTTTCTAGAAATTTAGGTAATTACCCACTAACGAAAAACAAAATTTTTTTCAGTAATTTCCGAAATTGCAAACATTTTCAAAACTAATTACTAAGAATTTACTACCAAAGTAAAAGCCAATTAAGGAAATACTCGAAGTCAACCAGAAACTTCCAAAGTCTACTACGGTAATTACTCGAAATTTCCCACACTTTCTGCAAACTAAACGATACCCATCTGATAATTACTGGGGAATTACTGAAATTCCTTCTGTTTACTACATAGAGACATCTAATAGAATAGGGACCCGCACCCTCGAAAGTATCAGAACTTTTAGAAATTACGGTAATTTCGAGAAAATTTCGTTAATTACTGGGAAATTACTGAAATTTCTACTATTTATTAGAAAGAGATATCCATTACACTAGGGCCCCCTATGCCCAAAAGTATGAGAGTTTTTAGCAATTTCGGTAATTTCGAGGAAATTTTGTTAAGTACTATACAATTACTGAAATTTCTTTTATTTATATCGAGATATCGGTTACAATAGGGTCGCCTAAGTCCACAAGTAAGAGAATTTTTAAAAATTTCGGTAATTTCGAGGAAATTTTAGTATTTACCTCGAAATTACGGAAACTTCTTCGCTTTTATAGATATAGATAAACAAATAAATGTATATTAGTAGTGACCCGTTCCCTCGAAAGTATCAGAACTTATGGTTATTTCGAGGACGTTTTGGTAATTGCTAGGAAATTAGTGCAGTTTCTATTATTTATTAGATAGAGATATCCGTTAGAATAGGCGCCCCTATCTCCGAAAATAAGCGAATTTTAGGAAATTTCGGTAATTACTAGGAAATTACTTTCCTTTTGTAGATATAGATATGCAAATCAATGTATATTACTAGGGACCCGCACCCTCGAAAGTATCAGAACTTTTAGAATTACGCTAATTTCGAGGAAATTTTGCAAATTACTAGGAAATTACTGAAATTTCTATTATTTATTAGAAAGAGATATCCATTAGACTAGGGACTCCTATATCCGAAAGTAAGAGAATTTTTAGAAATTACGGTAATTTCGAGAAAATTTCGTTAATTACTGGGAAATTACTGAAATTTCTTCTATTTATTAGGTAGAGATATCCATTACCATAGGAAGCAAAATTTCCTCTAAATTACCGAGATTTCTAAAAATTCTCTTATTTGCGAAGATAGGGATCCCTATTCTAATGGATATCTCTATCTAATAAATAAAAAAAATTTCAGTAATTTCCTAGTAGTTACCGTATCGGTATCGTTTAGTTTAGAGAAAGTGTGGGAAATTTCGGATAATTACCGTAATAGACTTTGAAAGTTTACGGAAATTTCTTTTGCTTGATGGAGTGTTTTCTGAATGTGTATTGAAAATTCTTGCTGATGTTGTAGTAATTTTCGGAAGTTTCCTTATATTTGCTGGTTGACTTCGACTATTTTTCTTAATTGCCTTTTACTTTGGTAGTAAATTCTTAGTAATTAGTTTTGAAAATGTTTGCAATTTCGGAGAAATTACTGAGAAATTTTGTTTTTCGTTAGTGGGTAATTACCGAAATTTCTAGGAAATTTGGTTTTGAGGTATTAGTGAATCTAGGTAATTTCTGGTAAGTTTCTGTATTTGGTTCATGAATGAAAGTGTATTGTATGTTGGAATATATGGTAATTTCGGTGTTTTCTCATTTTATTGGTTTTGCATTGTCGAAATTTCTGAAACTGCTTTATTTATGCGGGAAATTTCCTTTTTTGGAAATTTGAACGCTGCTGGCAATCCGGAAATCCTGTTAATATGAAGATATCAACGTCTTGTGGTAAAACTTTAAGTTGAACAAACCATTTGAATATTTGGGATTGTAGAGCAATCCGTGTTCTACAAAATGATACGTAGTATGACTCTGATAAGTATTCCATTCAATTACGACAAACTCAACAACCTGTACACGCTACAGAAAACATACGATGTAAGTTTTGTTATTTTTCTGCACTGGTCTTTCTTTACATAAAAATTTCCAGTCGTATGAAATAAAACTTGGAATGTTTCTCTATCAAACAAAAAAACAACCTTAAAGTTTGATTGAGAAATGGCCGAGATATTAAAGTTTTATTTTCGACCGGACTTTTGAAACACCTGGTATAAATGACGAAATTATCTTTATTTTTAAATACACGGTTGAAAATAATATTATTCCAAGGAGTATCGCTCAAACGACAAATGATATCAAAACGAATTATATACCAAATGAAAGCCCATAGAAAATGGGACTGATGAATCTAATTGATATTCGGTATGATGATTATTAGCTGTAGAATTATGGAAGTTTCTATCGCGTGTGCCAATCTAGTATAGTGGTGCTTTCTGTAAAAGTCCTATAACTTCGTCAGAACAAAAGCGTTTTCTATTGGATCTGTCTTGTTTTGATCAGAAATGATTGCTTTTCACTACCTAACCGAAAAAATCAAAACTTCGAACATGTTTTCCGTTCAACACATTGTTGAAAACGGGGAGAAAGTTTTGAAATTTCGGTTTCCAGCACACCATCTGCTTTAAAACTTCTTTTTACAGACCACGAGAAAGAGCATATTCAAAAGTACAAAAAGAGCCTAGTGTTCACTTTTGCAACGCTTTTTGCGGAAATAATAGCAGAAGAAAAAAGTTCAAGTCGAAAAAAATACCTAATATAGGAAGTTTTCAGTTTTTCCGCCTATCGTATAATTTAGGTAGTTCTCTTGATTAAACTTTCAAAACTAAAGTTTGCGTATGGTTTTGTAGAGTATTTCGCGCATCTTTTAATAACACTAATCTTAGGATCCTAAAGGAACACGAGAAAAATAGAAAATACCAAGAGGCTCATCCATTATGACACACTCGATAGAAACCTTCATAATTCTACAGCCAATAATCATCATACGAAATATCAATTATACTCATCAATCCCATTTTCGACGAGCTATCATTTGGTATAAAAATTCATTATCTACTCTATTTGAAATTATAGTGGTACCTCCCTGGAATAATATTATTTCCAACTGTGTATAAATTTACGTCTATTTTCTAAAGTTACACTAAATTAACATCCTTACTAAGGGTGTTCGATGATATTGAATATAATGCAATTCTAGATTGCGATTTTGTGCAATGCACTACTCTATTTATTTTTCTTCTTCAAATAAAAGGTTTATATTAGAATTCTCTTCTTGCTCAGGCATCGGAGGAAGAGATAAAATCAACAAGAAGCACCACGTTTTCGTACATCTTTTGTGATATTCTCTTACCTTCCATGACTACGACGACTTGTTTCTGATGAACTAGGTACTGGTACAATACCATTTTCACGCGCTTTATCAAAGGATTTAAATAATCTTATGCCAAAAGCAAATGGATAACCTTGTGCAATACAAGACTTCATTTCATATAAATCAATGTTAATTTGTAATGCTTCATCAATTGTAAAATGTTTAGCTTCCTCATAGGTAAATGATGGTGGTCGTTGATTAACTTTACTAATATCATATGGCCATTGTGATTCTCTACATGCACCATGTTCATCTAAGGCTTCAATAGCATCTGTCATACTACAACCAGTATCGCTTATCCATGCTGAAGGATTATTTTGTGCTCTACTATTATAATACACAAATAAGCGACTAACATCTTCATTTCTTCCTGTATGTTTTTTAATCAAATATTCGTATGTTGAGTAGGCTTTTTATTACGTAATAAAAAAGAACTGTTTTCAATTCTTTTTCATTCTGTGCTTTACTTTAATTATACGTAATATTTGAATCTTTTAGCACCAGCAAGAGCGTTAGCTGAGCTAGAAGAAGAAAAATAAAAAGATATAATAGAAGAAAAGAGAGTGAGTAACAGAAACAAACCAGCTTCCTATTTGTGATTGATCTTCAACAGCTGTCATTTCTTGTCGTAAATCAACTTTGGGTGGTAACTCCTCGGGACTGTATTTCACAATATTATCAAATTTCTGTCTTAAACTTTGCTTATGTGGTAATCTCGTTGATGCTATTAGGCCATTAAATCGAAAACGATGTTCATTTATTTTACTGATTAAAAATTTTTTCAAGGTCATTGTTTCTTACAAATAATCTAAGGTGACAAAAGAATAGCTTACA